CTGCGATCAGCCTGGAACTTCTGACGCTGAGCAGAGTCCCTCAAAGCCCTCTGGATCTGCCCCCATGAAGAATGCAGGGCAGCAAGATGGTTCTCCACAGCCGGAATGTCCTGTGGTGAGAACCTCTCAGGTAATACCGCGGGTTGGTACCCATAGTTGGCCATGAAGGGAGACATCCCGGAGGAGGAGTTGACCGCTGAGTTCCTGGCAAACTCTGCCCAAGGCATGAGATCGGCCCAATTGTCCTGATGGTCCGAGATATAACACCGAAGGAATTGTTCTAAGGCCCGATTGGAACGCTCCGCAGCCCCATTGGACTGCGGGTGGTAGGCTGAAGAAAAGGAGAGACTAATACCCAACTGGGAACAGAAGGCGCGCCAGAATCTGGACACGAACTGACTCCCGCGGTCTGAGACAATCACCTTGGGCAACCCATGCAGGCGAAAAATCTCCCTGGAAAAGACCGTGGCCAGTTCTTGCGCTGTTGGTAATTTCCTGAGTGGAACACAATGGCACATTTTGGAAAAAACGATCGACGACCATGAGAATGACCATATGACCCCGAGACACAAGGAGGTCTACAATAAAGTCCATGCCCAGGTGTGACCAAGGACGCTCCCCATTGGGAATGGGTTGCAGAAGACCCATTGGAAGATGCCGTGGAGATTTATTCTGGGCACAGATCGAACATGCCGCTACATAAGAGGCGATGTCGGCACGGAGAGTAGGCCACCAGAACAACCGAGAGACGACCCACAACTGGTTCCTCCCCAGATGCCCAGCAGTTTTGGAGTTATGGTAGGTACGCAGCAGACGGGTGCGCAACCCCTCGGGTACAAAACATCTACCCTCCGGTCTCTCGGGAGGAGCGTCAGTTTGAGCCGCCAAAATCTGCTCCCCAAGGGGAGAAGTCAGACTGGTGCAAATGGCAGCCAGGATCTAATCTGGAGGTATGACCGAGGTTGGCTCAGAGTCCTCCCTGGACAACTCAGAGTATTGCCGCGATAATGCATCAGCCCTGACATTCTTGGAACCAGGCAAATTGGAGACCACATAGTTGAACCGCGACAAGAACAAGGCCCATCTGGCCTGACGGGGTGTCAATCTCTGCGGAACGCCGGGAACGAGGAGACTCCACCCAAGATCTGTCCCCGACAGGATCTCAGGTGCGAGCGTTTCCCGGACGGACCGGACAGGACTGCCAAAAGTGCCCACCAAGGCCACAGTACAGGCAGCGACCCTCCCGACGCCGAGCGGCCCGCTCTCCCTCGGAAAGGCGAGCAAACCCCAGCTGCATGGGCTCACCACCAGACAATCTATCCCCAGGAGGCGTGGGAGGAGAGGGAGGAACGGGTGGGACAGAAAACGCAGGTGCCAGTCGATTGGAAGGCCTCCGCAGGCGTTCCCTGAGTGAAGGCCTCTCCCTGAGCCTGGTATCAATCAGGATCAGGAAGGAAATTAGTGCTTCCAGCTCCACAGGCAATTCCTTGGCTGTGATCTCGTCCTTCAATGCATCAGAAAGACCCTGAGAAAACGCAGCCACCAGAGCCTCATTGTTCCAACCCACCTCTGCTGCCAGGGTACGAAACTCTATGGCGTACTTGGCAACGGTCCGTGAACCCTGATGCATAGACATATGCAGCTTGGCAGCCGAGGCGGAGCGAGCCGGTACGTCGAATACCCTACGGAAGGCATCGACAAAACCGGAAACCGCGTGAATCACTGGGTCATTCCTCTCCCATAAGGGATTCGCCCAGGCCAAGGCCTTGTCTGAGAGTAGCGATATAAGGAAACCCACCTTTGACCTCTCAGTCAGAAAAGCGTGGGGTATTAATTCGAAGTAAATCCCCAACTGGTTGAGAAACCCACGACGCTGACTCGGCTCACCCCCAAAGCGCTGTGGAAGAGGGGCTGAACCAGTCATACCACTGGGTGCCGCAGCAGCTGCGGCGGTGGGCGCAACAAGCGGAACAGCAGCGGGAGCGACCACCGGAGTGACAACCGGCCTAATGACACCAGGAGTAAGGTGCGCGGTGCGTGCAAGCAGAGTTTGCAACGCCTGAGCGAACTGATCCAACAGGAGATCCTGTTGATCCAGTCTGGCGACCAACAATGGAAGCGAAGGCATACCTGCACCGTCAGGGTTCATAGCACTTGTGTAATGTCAGGGCAGGGCTGTGAAACGGACAGGTAGGCCTAGTGGCAGGGTAACGCACTGGCTGACGACAACCACCACCAACAGACCGAAGTCTAAGTCCCAGGCTGCCCTTCACCAGGGCCCCTGATGGTGGGGATGGACTTGACGCAGCCAGGAACCAGGTCGCGGCCCCCGAGACACCCCGGCTGCGGTAATGGCCGCCGCCAATAGCGTGTAGCTGGTGAGAATGACAATAGCGTAGTCAGGCAAGCCGGGTCGACAACGGGACAAAACGGTACAGAACAGTAGACAGAGAATAACAGGTCACGGGCCAGGTTCAGCAACGGAGAGTCAGATCGAAGGAAAACACAGAGAATGGTCAAGTCACAAGCCGAGTCAAATACCAGAAGAGTCCCGAGCATATACACAGAGCTGTAGCAAGACAAAGACACAAGTGCAAAGAGCATGTGTGGGCCACAGGCTTATATGTCATCAGCCACACCCCTCTGGGGGATGGACCTCAGAGACCTGAAGGCATAAAAGGATTCCCACCATGCACAGCCGAATCCAAGATGGACGCCAGCACATGGAGTAACATAACCTCAGGGAAAAGGTAGGACCTTGACATGACGCAATTCGTAGGGGCATCGCCACTGCACAGACATCCATCCCACTTAGCATACCTTATACTAAACCTCCCTCAACACTTTCCTCTTGACCTTGCTACTACCAAAGAGGTCACTAAGGTTTTCTATGAAGCCTGTCTCACTACCTGCCCCCTGGATCCTGTCCCCTCACAACTACTACAGTCACCCTCTTCTTCCATCCTATGCTCCCTCACTCACATCTTCAATCTTTCCACATCTACTGGTGCCCTCGCCTCTCAAGCATGCGCACATCACTCCAATACTTAAAAAGCCCTCCCTGGACCCCACCAACCTGAACAACTTAAGACCCATCTCCCTGCTGCCATTTACCTCTAAACTGCTAGAACGCTTAGTCTACAATCGCCTGAGCTCCCACCTCACCGACAACAACCTTCTTGACCCTTTACAGTCTGGCTTTCGCTCACTACACTCCACGGAAACTGCCCTACTAAAACTCACTAATGATCTACTAACTGCTAAAACCAATGGTCACTACTCCGTACTCTTACTACTTGAGCTCTCTGTGGCTTTTGATACAGTTGACCATCCCCTCCTCCTCAAAAAACTCCACTCTCTTGGTCTCCGAGACTCTGCTCTCTCCTGGTTCTCCTCCTACCTATCGCAGCGCTCCTTCAGTGTTACCTATAACGCTGCCTCCTCCTCTTCACTCAATCTTTCTGTAGGGGTCCCTCAAGGTTCTGTCCTTGGACCCCTTCTCTTCTCCATCTACACCTCCTCCTTTGGTCACTTGATAAAACTCCCATGGCTTTAAGTACCATCTCTATGCTGATGACACACAAATCTATCTTTCTACCCCTCACCTCACCCCTTCAGTCTCCACTCGCATTACTAACCTACTAAGTGACATATCGACATGGATGTCACTCCACTTCCTCAAACTCAGTCTTTCCAAAACTGAGCTCTTAGTATTCCCCCCAGCCCGTGCCCCCTCCCTTGACTTCTCCATCAAAATCAATAACACAATCATCAGTCCCTCCCCTCATGGCAGGGTGCTAGGTGTAATCCTAGACTCCCATCTGTCCTTTCAGCCCCAAATCCAATCACTGTTCAAATCTTGTAGACTTCACCTCCGCAACATCTCCAAGATACGCCCGTTCCTAACCTTGGAGACTACTAAGCAACTTATTCACTCCCTGATTGGCCTACCAAATCGCAGGCTATCCCCTCTTCAGTCTCTCATGAATGCTGCTGCCAGACTCATCCACCTTACTAACCGTTCTGTATCTGCCACCCCTCTCTGCCAATCCCTCCACTGGCTTCCCGCTTCCCAACGGATAAAATTCAAAACACTAACAATAACGTATAAAGCTATTTATAACTCTGCCCCAAATTAAATCACAGATCTGGTCTCTAAATATCACCCAAACCGTACTCTCCGCTCCTCGCAAGACCTCCTACTCTCTAGCTCCCTTGTCTCCTCCTCCCATGCCCATCTCCAAGACTTCCCCCATCCTCTGGAACTCTCTCTACCCCAATTTATCAGACTATCGCCCACTCTGCTCACGTTTAGGCGATCTCTGAAAACCTCTCTCTTCAGGGAAGCATATCCTGCCCTCAGCCAATACTTGAATGTTCTACTCTTCCAACCAGTCCATCCCCCACAGTTACTAGCTTTTGTACCACTAGCCCCTCCCTTCTAGATTGTAAGCTCCAAGGAGCAGGGCCATCAAATCCCTCTTGTATTGAACTGTATTGTTGCTGTTGCATGGAGGAGGAATGAGGTGGGACCACTGTATGGTGGTGGAGACACCGAGGTTCCTTGAATTTTCAGTGAGGAACAGTGCCTCAGTGTTTTTAACAGTGAAGGGGGAATCATTTTGTATCGTTGGTGTCAGTGGGAGGAATTTATACCGTTATTGGTATCAGTAAAAGGGATAATGCTCCATGTTTGGTGTCAGTAGAACCATTGGTATCTGTGGGGGTAATAAATGTTCTATTATTGATGTCAGTGGGAGGAATTGTGCCTCAGTGTTTTCAGTGGGAGGAATGAGTCCCTGCTCTTGGTATCAGTGAAAGAGAGTGCCCCCTACCTGTCCTGCTGCCCGCCTCTGCCCCCCCCTCCCGTGACACTTCCCCCTCCTGCCCTGCTGGAACTAAGCGATCAGCAGTCTTTGTTCACTCAGTTGTCACTATAGAGCCGGCGGGTATAATTATTTGTTTTTTTTTTAAAAATTCCAACCCTTGAACAGAATCACCTTTGCTTTCAGATGTTTGCAGTAAACCGGATGGTGACATGGGGGATGCAGAAGAAGTGGAAGCTGTCTCCTCTTCATCTTCTAGCTCAGAAACTGGCATAAGTGGGTTCTGAATTGCTTGTGCAAGTTGTGTTGGGCTGGATGGGATTCCATTCTCCAACAGGAATTCATCAAGGTCCATGTACTCCAAGTGGAAAGATTCCCCATCATAAGGAATGGTCTTATCCCAGATAGGCGGCATGAGTGCAGCAGAAACAGACAATGAATTTCCATCAAGGCTGTCATCTTTGTCCAATTTGGTCTTGTCTTTTTCTAGAAAACATAAGAACACCAAAATGAATATGTAAAAAGTACCTGCACTAACTGCAAACAAAAATTAAATATGAAAACGCTAAAAATAACTAGTATATCATATAAGCTCTGTACATTACAGTTCTGCCCCCTAAAAGAAAGTATGTAAAAAAAAATTATAACCAATGAAACATTAAAAAAAATTGAATGAATCTAAAAGCTTGTTGCACATGGCATATCTTGTTTTAAAGTGCACTTTTAGAAATGAATTGGAAATACCCTCTAGCGCAACTTTAGAGTCACCTATAGAAGCTGAAACTTTAGGTACATGTGAACCCAGCTTCTTACTGTCCAGTCTTCCCAAGGCTACCACATTGTTGACATACTCCAGTATTCCAACTTACCCTGAAACTTACCAATACACTGAGCCCTTGCAAAGAGACAGCCATCCTGGGCACAAAGGTATTTGTTCTCAAAAGGCAAGTCTGACAAATGTGTGTGGATTCCAGAGAACAACAGAACAGCAAAAGGACAAAGCAACAGACTGGGAAATAAACACTCAGATTTGTTTACAAGTGAAGTCTGTACATCTGCTGTTGGATAACATGTTTTTTGAGTTCACGGAGGACACCGGAAGTAATCTGCTATATTATAATGCCACTTACAGGAGGATTAGACACGGACTAAAAAAATATATATATTTTAGGAGAGTACACACGACTTTCTATGGGGGGCACTCACCCAAGAGGAGGAGCCAAGTTAGTGAGGAAAAACCATTGCACAGAGCAGGCAAGTATGTTTTATTTAAAAATAAAGCTTTACAAATCAACTAGAACAGAGCAGAGCTGACAAGCAAAAACTAGGTAGAATCCTTGAAGACAAGAACACCCTCTACTGGCTTATTTGAATCCCTGTTAAGGTGGGTCACTGGTAGATGAACAGTGGGTACAGACCACTGTTTAACTCACTACCTCCCAATGGAAGATGCTAAAAGATCTTTGCATCTGTAGGCGCTCTAAAAAAGACAAGACTGAAGACAGCAGGCTGATCCTCCAGATGCACATTAGCATGTACAGGAACAATAAGGGCAGAAAGGCTGCGTTTTGTCTGAGGCAATGAGAGGAGCCTGCAATTTTTCTTTGGCAACATCAAACAGACAGAGACCATAAGGACCCTCAGTGTGATTCAGAGATGGGTGATCAGATATTGAAGGCAGTGAAGCATCTAAGGTCATTACCTGCTAGGAACTGAATGAACTAGCCACTAAAAGCCTTGCGTAACCTTCAGTAGAGGCCCTGATGACAAGGCAGGGACATGGCCTTACCTGACACAGCTAAGGTGACTACGATGAGATTGTACTTTAAAAACCATAGGGTCATAGGAGTCGAGACTTGAAAATATAATGTGCCGCGCTCCACTACATAAATTAATTTTGTTAATAAAAGTGCAATATGTGCCTATATATCCATATACCATATGATCCAAAAAAAAAAAAAAAAAAAAAAACAACACACACACACACACACACACACACACACACACACACACACACACACACACACACAGTCAGGTCCATAAATATTGGGACATTGACACAATTCTAACATTTTTGGCTCTATACACCACCACAATGGATTTGAAATGAAACGAACAAGATGTGCTTTAACTGCAGACTATCAGCTTTAATTTGAGGGTATTTACATCCAAATCAAGTGAACGGTGTAGGAATTACAACAGTTTGCATATGTGCCTCCCACTTTTTAAGGGACCAAAAGTAATGGGACAGAATAATAATCATAAATTAAACTTTCACTTTTTAATACTTGGTTGCAAATCCTTTGCAGTCAATTACAGCCTGAAGTGTGGAACGCATAGACATCACCAGACGCTGGGTTTCATCCCTGGTGATGCTCTGCCAGGCCTCTACTGCAACTGTCTTCAGTTCTTGCTTGTTCTTGGGGCATTTTCCCTTCAGTTTTGTCTTCAGCAAGTGAAATGCATGCTCAATCGGATTCAGGTCAGGTGATTGACTTGGCCATTGCATAACATTCCACTTCTTTCCCTTAAAAAACTCTTTGGTTGCTTTTGCAGTATGCTTTGGGTCATTGTCCATCTGCACTGTGAAGCGGTGTCCAATGAGTTCTGAAGCATTTGGCTGAATATGAGCAGATAATATTCCCGAAACACTTCAGAATTCATCCAGCTGCTTTTGTCAGCAGTCACATCATCAATAAATACAAGAGGACCAGTTCCATTGGCAGCCATACATGCCCACGCCATGACACTACCACCACCATGCTTCACTGATGAGGTGGTATGCTTAGGATCATGAGCAGTTCCTTTCCTTCTCCATACTCTTCTCTTCCCATCACTCTGGTACAAGTTGATCTTGGTCTCATCTGTCCATAGGATGTTGTTCCAGAACTGTGAAGGCTTTTTTAGATGTCGTTTGGCAAACTCTAATCTGGCCTTCCTGTTTTTGAGGCTCACCAATGGTTTACATCTTGTGGCGAACCCTCTGTATTCACTCTGGTGAAGTCTTCTCTTGATTGTTGACTTTGACACACATACACCTACCTCCTGGAGAGTGTTCTTGATCTGGCCAACTGTTGTGAAGAGTGTTTTCTTCACCAGGGAAAGAATTCTTCGGTCATCCACCACAGTTGTTTTCCGTGGTCTTCCGGGTCTTTTGGTGTTGCTGAGCTCACCGATGCGTTCCTTCTTTTTACGAATGTTCCAAACAGTTGTTTTGGCCACGCCTAATGTTTTTGGTATCTCTCTGATGGGTTTGTTTTGTTTTTTCAGCCTAATGATGGCTTGCTTCACTTACAGTGACAGCTCTTTGGATCTCATCTTGAGAGTTGACAGCAACAGATTTCAAATGCAAATAGCACACTTGAAATTAACTCTGGACCTTTTATCTGCTCATTGTAATTGGGATAATGAGGGAATAACACACCTGGCCATGGAACAGCTGAGAAACCAATTGTCCCATTACTTTTGGTCTCTTAACAAGTGGGAGGCACATATGCAAACTGTTGTAATTCCTACACCGTTCACCTGATTTGGATGTAAATACCCTCAAATTAAAGCTGACAGTCTGCAGTTTAAGCACATCTTGTTCGTTTCATTTTAAATCCATTGTGGTGGTGTATAGAGCCAAAAATGTTAGAATTGTGTCGATGTCCCAATATTTATGGACCTGACTGTATATATATTGTGGGGTTAGCTCAAGTGGGGGATCTCCTTCCCTGGGACAAAGGTAGACCGCACAGCAGGCTTTTGTCAAAATCTGACTGGTTGTCAGCTTTATTTAAAAGGTTTGCAGAAAATAAACAAAACATGAAAATAAACCCTTGCCATCCAGGCACTAACTAAACAAAAGGCTTTTCCTCTCTCAGAGGTGAAGGGCTTCTCCCTGTCACCAAAATAAAACAAAAGCAAACCTTTTCTTGTAGGTATCGTCCGTACACACAGCTCTCTCAGAATACCTCTCTGAGTCCCAGGCCACGAGCAACTCCTTGCTCCAGCCCTGCCTTATTTATACCACCTGTTGGTGATCATCAGTGGAGCCCAAACTCTGGTCCGGACCCATCTGCTTAACTGTGGCCCCGAAAACCCGGAGTGGACTCCACCTAAACGGTCAGGTATGAGCATATGCGAGGTGACACATAGCGTCCCTCTATCACCTCGCCGTTCATCCTGTCACATATCCCCCCCCTCTGCTCAAGCCCCTGCGGCTGAGCAACTGTCCCAACCAGACAATGGACCCGGGAGAGGGCATCTACATTACTTTGCAGTTTCCCCGCTCTGTGTTCCACTGTGAATTTGAACACTTGTAGCGCGAGAAACCACCTTGTCACTCGACTGTTTTTCTCCTTATTATCACACATCCATTTGAGCGGGGCATGATCAGTAACCAACTTGAATGGTCTTCCTAACAGGTAATATTTCAGGGCCTCCAAGGCCCATTTGATGGCCAAACATTCCTTCTCCACAATGGCATAGTTTCTCTCATGTTTGTTGAGCTTTCTACTTAGGAAGACCACAGGGTGTTCCTCCCCATCTCTGATTTGGGACAGTACCGCACCTAGTCCCACGTCAGAGGCATCAGTCTGTACCACAAACTCTGTTGTGAAATCTGGAGTCACAAGCACATGTTGAGCACAGAGAGCTTGTTTCAGCCTTTGAAATGCGGTCTCCGCCTCAGGATTCCACTTAATCATGACTGACCCCCTACCTTTTGTCAGATCTGTCAGTGGGGCTGCAATGGTGGCAAAATTGGGGATAAACCGCCTGTAGTATCCCGTGATTCCAAGAAATGCCCGAACTTGTTTTTTATTTACAGGTTGGGGCCACTTTTGAATTGCCTCAATTTTATTGATCTGAGGCCTAATGAGACCTCGACCAATGATGTAGCCAAGATATTTGGCCTCCTCTAAGCCAATGGCACACTTTCTGGGGTTGGCGGTAAGACCTGCTTCCCGCAGCGAATCTACGACCGCTTGCAAGAGGGACAAATGAGATTCCCAGTCGGGACTGTGGACGACGACATCGTCCAAATAGGCAGCTGCATATTGGCGATGTGGTCCCAACGTCTTGTCCATCATCCTTTGGAATGATGCAGGAGCCCCATGCAAACCAAACGGCATCCGCTTATACTGAAAGGACCCCTCGGGGGTGGAGAATGCTGTCTTTTCTTTTGCAGCTTCCGTTAAAGGAATCTGCCAATAGCCTTTGGTCAGATCTAAGGTGGTTATGTACCGAGCCATTCCCAACCTGTCAATGAGCTCATCCACCCGAGGCATCGGGTACGCATCAAACTTAGACACACTGTTCAGTTTCCTGAAATCATTACAGAAACGAATTGTTCCATCTGGTTTTGGGACCAACACTATGGGACTCGACCACTCACTGTGAGATTCCTCAATCACTCCCAACTCTAACATGTCCTTTATTTCCTTTGCCACCGCTTCCCGCCTGGCCTCGGGAATTCTATAGGGCTTGACATTTACGCGGAC